TTTTTTTTTTTTTTTGGTTATTTGAAAATAATAATCTATATAAGAATAAAGATAAAATATAATTTAAATCCATATAAAAATATTTAAATTGTGTATCATCAGTGCCCTTTACTTGTTCTCGAAAAAAAAAAAAAAAAGTATAACATTTATTTATGGGCACATGCAACCAAAGGGTATGGGACCGTATGGTGATATGGACTAAGAATTAAAAAATGCCCACCTTGTTCTCACGAGACAGAGAAGTAAATAAAATATTGTTCAAGTGGTTCATATTAACAATTCAACTAGTTTCCAGTTGACTAACATGTCTGATTAACAAACGCATATATATAAAACAAGTAGAGGCTTGCATAATACTTTGGTCCTGCCAAATATATAGTTAGTCTTGCTCTCTCATTCATACTGATAATTATAATTTCATTGAAATTATTGATAGATATATGGCGTATGGTGCGTTGAGTTTCCTGCTGGAAAACGTGTCGCGGCTGCTGACGTCGCATGCCGATCTTCTCTCAGGCGCCGGAGCGGAAGAGGAGCTCCGGCTGCTGACGAACGATCTCATCTCTTTCAAAACTTTGCTGGAACCCGAGTCAACAAGGTCGAATAAAGCGACACAACTCAGAGTTGTCGAAAGGCAAATCAAGAAAGTTGTGTATGCCATTGAGGACACAATCGACGCTTGTGTGACTCGTCTGGCCGCTGCAGACTGGAAGAATATCTCCGGTTGCAGACGAGATCTTGTCGGCCCGGATGACCTGGCACGGCATGTTAGGTCCCTTAGGAAAGATGAGTTGAAACCTGCCATGGACAGGCTCATAGGGTCGGGCATATCTGATGAGTCGAGACAGAGACAAGGAAAGCAGGACGAGCCGAGGCTTAAAAAGGTATCCGAATGAACCACTACTGTTTTGGTTTTAGTTATCCAAAATGCCCGTTTTTTTTCTATCTTTTTTTTTTTCTTTCTGAAATTGTGTCTTGGTTATGGTGAAATTCATTCATTAAAATGTTATTCCTTACATATTTTCCTTTCATTGGTTGAGAGTTAATTTCTGAAGAGTGCATAAACTGTAACTTGTGTGTGCAGGCACCGTCAATGATGGGAGACGGCATGATAATAGGTCTGGAAGATGAGGAAAGAGAACTAATCAAAACTCTGATCAAGCGACCATATAATCCATTTCCTGATAAGATTGCCATCACCCCCATCATCGGCATGCCTGGCCTCGGGAAAACGACCCTGGCCTGGAAGGCTTATAACAACGAGGAAATCCAGCGAGAGTTCCCCACCCGAATATGGGCCTCCGTCTCTCGAGAGTTCAACCCGAGAACCATCTTTCTCGGCATCCTCCACGAGTTCACGAGCAAGGACATGTCAGCCGAGACAACCTCTGACCTGGCAAAAGCTATTCGTGCTTCTCTACAAGACAAGAAGTTCCTTTTGGTCCTGGACGATGTATGGACTGCCAAGGCATTGTCTACCATCAGGTCTGCCTTGCCAGAGGACAACGAGAGGAGTCGAGTCCTTATCACCACCCGCAGTCAGAAAATCTTCAACCGGATCGAACATTATGATTATCCCCATAGGCTGCGTTTCTTGACGAATGACGAAGGTTGGCGACTTCTCCAGTTCAAACTATTAGGGAAGGATGGGCAGTTTCCTTCGCAGCTGCAAGGGCTGGGAAGGCATATAAGTCAACGATGCCGAGGAATACCGATGCTGTTGTTGATGATAGCAGGGATTCTTATGGACTACGTCTCGAAAGCACAAACAAGTGTTGCCCTCGTGAAGTCGTGGATAGAGCTATCCCATAGCCTGGACAAGTACACTCTTGCAGGATCCGATGTTTTCAGGAGTGTTTTGGAATTGAGTTATGATAGGATGTGTGAGGAGTTGAGGGACTGCTTTCTTTATTTTGGGGTGTTCCCCGAAGATTATGAGATCCCGGCTTGGACATTGACCCGGTTGTGGATTTCCGAGGGGTTCGTTCGACCTAGGCAGGGACAGAGCTTGGAGGAGAGAGCACGTGAGAACCTAATGGATCTCATCGACCGCAACTTGGTCATCGTTGATAAACTTAAAAGCAACGGTGAGGTCAAGACGTGCCGGATTCATGACACAGTGCACGACTTTTCTAAAGCGGAGTCCAAGGAGAAAGAGCATCTTTTCCAAGTATTGACAAAAAATGCCGATGGAACTTTTAACTATCATTCTCAAAATATGGCCCCACTGAACAATCAGCACCGCCGTATTTGCATTCATTCCAATGTCCTGGAGTTCTTCTCTCCAGAGCCGTACGCCCCAGCCACTCGTTCTTTCCTTTCTTTCTCCGGAGAAGAAATCGCCTTGCCGACCGAGGACATCCCGAAAATCCCGGGGGCCTTCGAGTTGGTGAGGGTTTTACATGTGAAGCCCCTCGTGTTCAGAATATTCCCCCTCGGGCTGACTCAACTCATGCTTCTCAAGTACGTGGTCCTGTCTAGTGACTTCAAAGTCCTTCCGGAAGCCATTTCCAGGCTAAGCAACGTGATGACTCTCGTAATCCATACATCGTCCCGTACTTTGGCAATCAAAGCCGATATTTGGAGCTCGATGGCCCAGTTGAGAGACTTGAAGACGAATGCATCCATTACTCTGCACAAAAAACCAGCAGCTGGCAAAAACAAAGGAGGCCAACATCTTCAGACGCTGGCCAACATATCACCGGGTGATTGCACCCTCGACTTGTTCGAGCGGGCACATCACCTCAAGAAATTAGGCATTCGGGGGATACTTGCCACCATGAATTTTGACAACTTAAGAGTATTAAATGACCTTGAGAATTTGAAACTGCTGAATGATGACATCCATGATCTCTTGACCCCACTCAGCCTTCCTCTACCAGAAAATTTCCCCCCGAAACTTAGGAGCTTGACGCTATCTGCCACTTTTCTCAGTTGGGAGCAGATGTGTGTCCTAGGAATGCTGGAGAATCTGGAGGTGCTCAAGCTCAAAGACAACGCGTTCGTGGGTCGGTGCTGGGAGGTGGGCCCCGGTGGTTTCCGTAGCCTTGTAGTGCTGCACATTGGCTACACGGACATAGTTTCTTGGGAAGCTTCTGATCACGGCTTTCCTAAGCTTAAATGCCTAATGCTTAGAAACTGCGAGGAACTTGAGTCGCTGCCCCAAGTGCTTGTAGATATACCCTGCCTCGAGACAATGGTCTTGCATCGTCTAAGCAAATCGGCTGTGGCTTCAGCTAGAAAAATCCACCAGCAAATACTGGACAACAGAGTGGACTGTGGAGGCGGCAGGGGAATAAAGCTTTCGATATTTCCTCCTTATGAATGACATGTTAAATTGCGATTTTTTTTTTATTTTTTCTTATTTTATGGACTTGCATGTTAATGAATCACACAGCGGACGACTTTCGAAACTAAAAAAGAAAGAAACACAAACTATAAAATACATAAAAAACAGAAAATAAAGACTGCTCAAGAACTTAAATAAGTCCACTCCAAGTAATTCTTCAGTTTCTTTGACAAAGCTGATGTTGGAAGTTAAGAAAAATTCAAGCCTGGAAAGAGGAATAACGTGGCCTGCTGCTCTTCTCCTTCCAAGACGACTCGACCAAAACTTGAAAGTCATCATTCGACAAGTCTTGCTGCATCTCCTTCACCCTCATGGCCGACTCCACGAACGACGGGCTGCAGTCGACTACCTCCACCAGCTGCAAATATATGATGTAGTCAACGCCCTCAGGAATCTCCCTCAGCCTGTAGCAGTGCCTAACGATCAGGCGCTCGAGCCTCTTCAGAATCAGGCCACCACCCGACCAATCCTCCAAGTCTAAGTCCTCCAGCTGCAGGAACCTTAGATCCCTAAACTCATTCTCGCCAACATCCCAAACGGGCCCTTCAAAGGCGTAGCATCCCAATTTAAGCACTTGGAGTCTCGGCAGCTTGCCGATTATCATCATGTCTTCCCACGGGAATCGGCATCCGGTCAGCGCCAGTTTTTTTAATGCGCCTGGGAAGTTTGAGACAGAGTCGGGCCGCGCGACTGCCATCGAGCGGCGGCTTGGATTCACGACCGCGCATTTGAAAGACTCCAGCCGGTCGAGAAGCGCCAGATGGTCGAAAACGCGCGAGGGATCAGAAGCGTGATCGTGCTCCGACACCTCAATGCAAACTCCTAATTTCTTCAGGTTCGGAATTCCTCTCAGCACGTCCTCAGCACAACTATGGCTCGTCACATTCGAAAGAGTCAAGAGGTTCGTGAGCACCATGCCATGTGGATGTGGAAGGTCGCGGCCTTCTACCACGAGATGCCTCAAGCGTCTCATGTTCCATATCTCGATTGGCAAATACGACGGGCCGGCTCCAGAGGATTTGATCCTTATATGGCGACGTAAAATCAGGACATGGAGGTTTGCTAGCTCGGACAATGAAGCTGGGATTTCGCTGCACGTGAGCGCAAGGTATCGTAACTGGACTAGTTTTAGTATTTCCATCGGGAACTCGTAGAAGCGTATGGAGAGCACGTCCAGTACCCTGAGCAAACCGAAATCCGAGCAAACAACTAATGGATACGGATGGTCCTGACCACTGCAGAGAAAAGAGCGGGCTTTCGAGACTGACAACATGGCACGATTGATGTCCTTGATTGAAAGAAGGATGTTCTTCCGGATGCAAAGCCGGCGGCCGATGCTTGCGGCGGTAGGCAGAGAAGCCTTCCTTCCCTTTGTGTACCGAGTGACGGCACAAAAAAACCCATCTTTCTCGGCAGCATTGACACACAGATGCCACACGGCAGAGTGGATGCTGCAGGTTTTAATCCCGCCAGCCGACCTCTGCTTGTGAACCAAGACGAGGCTCCGGTCCACAAGCTCCTCCAGACGCGCCTCAGCCACATCCTCCTGAGATTCGGACTGGCTCCACTCCACGAATCCCTCAGAAATCCACAGCCGAACGAGCTTGGAGGCGGGTATCTCGTGGTTCGAGGGGAGCAAGCCCATATACATGAAGAAAGCTTTCAGATGCTGAGGCATGCTGTCGTCATTTAGAAGCTGCATGGCCGACGTCAGCCGGACATCGTTGCTTTCGTAAATAGCCGATATGGGGCTTTCTGCAACTCTTTCCCAGTACGCGAGGGTCTTCTCGGCACCCAATAGCATGGTGCCAACGAGGACGATCGTGAGAGGGAGTCCTTGGCAGTTCTCGGCAATTTCCTTGCCGACCTTTATGAGCTCGGGCGGGCACTCCTTCCCGTCGAATATGATGTTACGCAGCAGATTCCAGCTCTCCTCAATGCCCAAGAAGCTCGTCTCGTGAATGTTCCGGATAGATCCAGATGCGTGGAGAGCCACTTTCCTCAACCGGGTCGTGAGCACGACCCGGCTCCCGTTGTCGTCGTTCGGGAAGAGGCTCTTCAGGTTGTCCCACGCCTCGGTTTCGGTCAAGCCGTCGAGCACGATCAGGTATTTCCTGCCCTTGAGGTTCCGAAACATGAACTCGGTCAGCTGGCTGTAGCTGGTCTCCTGGCTGAACTTCGAGGCCGTGGGCCCCAGGAGCTCCGCAATGACTTCCCGCGGGTCGCGGTCCGGGCCCACCTCGGCCCAGGCTAGGTAGTGGAAGAACCTCCCGATCGACAGGTCTTGGAAAGCCCGGTCGACGAGCGTGGTCTTGCCGATGCCAGCCATCCCGACCACGGCCACCACATTCAGTCGAGAAGATTCCCCGATCAGCTTGTCCTTCAACCGGGACAGCCCGTTTTCGAGACCCACAAGCAGCTTATTGGTGCTGGCCACCACCGGGCCGGATCGTGGCCCGGTCATCTCTGGCCGTTGGTCAACCCACTCGGAGCCCATGTCCGTTAGCCATTTCTCGATAGAACCCAGTTCTTGCAAAATCACTTCCAACTTGTGAGTGAAGATCTCAGCAGCTGCAGGGGAGCTTTCCACGGATTCGG